CTGGGACAGGCAAACGTGGAAGCGGAATTTCTTTAGGAAGATGGGCGAAGAATGGATGGAAGGGGCCAGAGGCGTTAGGACCGGCTCCTGTTAAGCTTGCGGCTCTGGGAATGAAAATGACTGGCTTAGGGGTTCCCTTCCCATCACCTCTAGTCTTCTGGCTTTCAAAAGAGGTGGGACGAAGGAGGAGGGAGGAGCCGGGGTACCACGGGTCTTCCTTCCTTCCCTGGGCTCCTGGATCGTGCGCTCCGTTGCACAGTTAGCACTTTCTCTGTTCGACCCCTGCACCATTTTGCACTTGTTTGGATCGACGCATGCGCGATTACACCCCCGGTGACAGTGGTCCCGGGCTCGAGGCTCACTGCACATCTCTGTAACCCCTCCCGGCAAAATCAGGCGTTGCATCTACCCACTTCCTTCTGTACCTCCCGACCCATCTAGCACCACGCTGGTGACACGAAACGGGGATTCCTGAGACCCCTAACTTCCTAAAGTTCTCTGTCCCAACTGAAGAAGACTCCAGCTGCCCACCGGGGTCACCCATAGCGCCACTTTCTTGCCGTCCCCTGAAGTTCAGGGCAAGCAACTAGGGGTCTCCCCGGCCCCTTCTCACAGAGATGTTTGTTTTCTGTGTCCCCTTTTCTGGGGTTCGGTGGACCCGGGGGCTGACAGCTGGTGTGGGGCAGGGGGCGCGGTGGGGAGGGCGCTGGAGGGCGGAGAACATGGGCAGGCTGAGGGTTACCATAGGGCAGGCTTTGTCTAGGGGTCACGGCGAGTCTCTGCTGACCTTGGAGCTGAGTGCCTGGCTAGGAACTGACAAGAGACCAAAGGGCAAGCAGCTTCCTCCCCGCTCCGGGGCTGCAGATTTTTGTTTTAAATGTCTTCTTTGTTGCTGTGTGCTCCCTCCCCGGGCGGCGGGAGTGGGCCTGAGGAAGACTGAACTGAGGAGAGACACTGGAGGGCTGCTCCTCCCTTCCTCGCTCCCTCCCGGACCCCAAAGCCTGGTGCCTGCTTTTCCTGTTGAGACAGGGTGCATTTGTGGAGTGCCCTGACTTCGCACACACCGAGGCCCGGCAACGGCTGCAATAAATCAATAGGAAAATAGAAGCTGCCAGTTAGACTAAACAAATGCATTTGCAAAGACGGCGAGCCCTCATTAATCACTCTGACAGTCCTAAAAACACATTTCCCCTTTAATGACTGTATTTGGATAATCAGTGCTTTTTCCTCCTCGGTCAGAGTTTGAGTAACAGACAGCTGGTGTTTCTACAGCCACCGGTGGGGAGGCAGGGCTGGGATCAGGGTCTGGCAAAGGTGGGGGGGGGGTTGGCTGCAGGGTTGTTGTTATGCAATAATGGGGGGAAGCTCCTGGGCACTCCCCAAGACCTCCCACCCCTCTTTAGGTGAATCTAAAAGGTCTTGCGTTACTTATTTATTTATTTTGAGGGGGTGGTTTCAGGAGTGCTGGGAGACCTGGGTGGGGGAGGAGGTTGGCTTCCTTTAAGTGACCTCGACTTAGCCACGGGGAACTTTTGTAACCTGGCCCGCTCCTCCTTTTCCATGAAGTAACACATTCACGCCCTGTAACCTTATGAAAATGGTAATTCAAAGCCAGAGTGTTCCAAATTAAACCATACATTATCGGAGGCACTCAACCACTTATTTGGAAAAAAAAAATAATAAAATGTATGAAAGCAAATCAAACTGAATGCTAGCTTACAACACCCCTGCCCCCTCCTGACCCCAAGAAATGGTGGCTGTGGTGGTGATGCAGGGGCCACGGCAAGGTGAGTCGCACCATAAGCCGGCCATGCATCAGGAGGGGCTTTAGTGCCTGCCCCAAGAGACAGAGCCAAGGGCTCCATGCCTCCCACTTGGGCAGCACAGGGAGAGCAAGTCTTCTCCCTCCTTCTCCTCCTCTCCTCTCACTGCTGCCCACGAAGCCACAAAAATAACCAGGCAAGAGGTGTGAAAGCAGGACCCTGAGCCAGGTCTCGGGTTCCACCCTTCCTGGGGCCCCATTTCTGGCGCCTGGAAGAGATTAGAGAAGGGGGAGGGGAGGGGAGGGGAGGGGAGGAGAGGGGAGGGGAAGGGGCCAGGAAGAGAAGGACCTGCGAAAGGAGGTGGCGGCCACTCTGCAAGTCAGTGTCGCTGCAGGGACTTCATCAACATAGTGCCTTCCTCCATTCCCGGAAGTGCCCACTTGCCCAGCCCTGAGGACATCTCCTCTGCTTCCCCGTTGGGCTCACCCCCTGGATGCCATAGTGATACTGGGCCGGAGCTTCCTGCCCAGCCACAGCTCCCCTTCAACCCCGCAAAGCAACCCATTTATTTTCTGGGACAGACTCCGCAGCTCCACTTCTCCAGCCTTGACTGTCACCCAGGGTATGTGGCTGACCGCTGCTTCCCCAAGGGCCTCCTGGTCTACCAGTTGGAGGCGCTTCCTCCTGCTCTTTTCCCACGGGTGGGAGGAGGGGGGACCCTGGAAACCACCAGCGAAGTGGAAGTCCCCTTGCAGAAGAGCGTGTCCTCGGAAACTCAACAGGGTGTCTGCAGGCACGTGAGGGGAAGGGGAAGGGGGGAAGGAAGAAGCAGCCCAGACAGAGGACATGAGGAAAGCACAGCGCCTGGCAGGAGCGGGGTGGGCAATACGGCAACATGGCAATCTGACAGTCAGTCTAAGGACAGTACCAGTCTCTGCAGGCCCCGCTCTCAGCATTGCCAGCTTCTGCCTTACTTGGGTTCTACCAGCCCAGCAGCCCCAGCAACCCCAGTTCCTTTCCCTGGGACCCACGCAAGGTCTGAACGTGGCCATTACGGGCTTCGAACCTGAAGCCACACACACAGACGCTGCCTGTGAACACAGACACTGCACATGAACACACATGGCGCACGAACAGGCATTGCACACCAACAGACATTGCACACGAACATGCACCTGAGCATGCACACACGGCATGTTGCACATGGTCAGGCGCTGCACACACACATTGCTTGTGAGTACACGGACACAGACGCTGCATGCGAAGAGGACCTGCAGAGAAGGCGCGTCCACTCTGTACCTGGAGCGCTGGTGGCCATACGGAGACGGCGGCCGGTAGAGGGCGCGAGAGGCCGTGCTGCAGCGTGCGGGCGGCCGGATGTCCCCGACTCCAGGCCGGGAGCGAGGCAGGACTGACGCAGGACCGGGTACCGGAATCGGGGCACCCTGACCTTCCACTTCCCTAGCCCCCCACCCCCATGGACAGCACCTCACCGACGATTGCACGATGATACAGAAAGCCAAGTGTCAGTCAAGAGGGAGAAAACAGTCCGGGGAGGGCGGGCGGAGGAAGCCCCACACCTGGTTCCAGATGAGACCCTTGGGTGGACGGGTAGGGGTGTGTGCAGATGACGGAGCCTCCCAAGCTTTGCAAAGCACTGCTGTCAGCAACCAGCAGCAGGCGCATCTACCCTTAATGGTAAAGGAAAGCCAGTGCAAAGACAGCAAGCAGCCCCGACTCACCCCACCGCACCCCACCCGGGTGGCCAGCCTGGGTGCCCAGCGCGCACTGGCCGACGGGGCGCTGCGCGTCCTGCCGGTCACCAGATGGCGCCGGAGGCACACCGTCTGCTCCCGGCCGCCCCAGTCCTGCAGCCCCGCTCCCATGGCGAGCCCTGGCACCTGGAACCAAGGCCCTGGAGCAAAACCCGCTTTCCACAAACGCCTTCCGCCCGGGACACGCCAAGGCCTTGGAAGTGAGGCTGAGGGTCAGATCACCGGGCTAAACATGCTATGAAAGCATTCTGGGTTCTCTGGGACTTGGTCTGGCCTGCAGCAAGTAACCATCAGCTATCCCACCAATAAAAGCCGCGTATCTGCGTGGGGTCCAGTGCGCGAGGCAAGAAACGCACACCACGGTATGAATATAGCCAAGTATTCCATTTATTAACAAAATAAGTCTTAACCAAGGGAGCGCTGGACTGCACCCCTCACGGGCCCTCCCAGCCGCCCCCCACCTGACAAGTGTGAGAAGCCCCGGGGTCCCCAGGCCGGAGTGGTACTCTTTCCATCCATTCGCTTCGGGACACCACCCCCTCGGGCCCCACCCCCCTGACGACTCTAATGCACTTTGCAAAAAAAAAAAAATAATAATAATAAAATATTAAAAAAAAAAAGGTCCCACGCCATCGGGGCGGTGTGATGCACATGGGCAGGCGTGGGGGAGATCTGGGAGGGAGAGCGGCCGAAAAGACGCAGTGTGTGGGGGGGCCTCCGAGGTGGGGTCCGGCAAGGCCGTGTAGGGGAGGGGGCTGCCCGGGGCCAAGGACCCTAGGAGGGGATGGAGCAGGGGTGGGGTGGGATGGGGGACGCTGGGCAGGAGCCCCGGAGCAGGACTTCCTATCAGAGGTACAATAGTCCTCCACCCTGCACCTCCAAAATGTGTTACCTCCCCCCAGCTAACCCCAAACTTCTCCGCTATTGGTACAAAGAGGAGGAAAAGCCCTAAGAAACTCGAATGGAAACAAGCAAGAGGAGGGCCAGAAGGGGGAAAAAAGGGAGTGGAAGGGGGTGTGGGGTCTTGGGGGGGGGTGCAGCTGCATGCAAGGAATCCCCCCAGGCATGGACAAATCAAAACGGGCAGGAACCCCAGAACTCCGGCTCCCCTCAATCCCCACCAAAACCAAACCAAGCGGGGTGGGGGTGGGGGGTGGTGGTAAAAAAAAAAAGTTGAAAAACTTCTACCTAAGGGTGAAGAAACAAACAAACAAAAAGGCCAGGAGGAGAGAGGGGCGGGGGCGTCGCTGCGGGTGGGGCGCCCACGAAGCCGGCCTTGCTGCACCCCGTCGCCCCGCGTGGGCCGTTAATGCACTTAGATTCCCAGCTTGTAAGCTTAACAATAAATACACAGTCCGCTGCGAGGGCGGGGGGCTTCCGCGGGGCGGGGAGCGGGCGGAGAAGCGGGGCGGGCGCGGTGGGCGCACGGGCGGCGCGGCTGGGGGGGGCCCTTCCCCCGGCGTTACTGGTACCCGAGCGCCGAGGCCGAGGCCAGTCTCTGTCCGTAGAGCGCGTAGGGCGAGTAGTAGGGTCCTGCGGTGGGCAGCGACGGCACGGCCAGGCTCCCGGCTGTGGACAAGTGACTCTTGCCGTACGGGTGGTACCGGCTCAGCCCCAAAGTGTGTGGACTCCGCAAGGACAGCGAGCCCGGGCTGCCGGGCGCGGCGGGCGGGGGCAGGTGCAGGTGGCAGGAGGCGGCGGCGGCTGCGGCTGCGGCTGCGGCGGCGGCGGCCGCCCCGGGGTAGGCGGCCAGGAGTTTGTCCGCGCCGGGCAGGGCCGTGTGAGTCCGTAGGTGGCTCAGCAGCTCCTCCGAGGTGGCGAAGCGCTTGTCGCACGGCCCGCTGGCCGCCACCCAGTTGCAGCTGTGTGGCAGCGGTTCGTTCTGCAGCATGAAGCCGTAGGTGTAGAGCGGGTGGCCCGGCAGTGCGGCCTGCGCCGCGGCGCTGGACGAGAGCGCGGCCGGCTGCAGCGGGTGGCCCGGGTACACCAGCGGGTAGCCCCCCGCCTTCAGGCTGGGCCCGGCCGGGTCGTGCGCGCTGCAGGTGGAGCAGCTGGAACCGCCGGCGGCGGTGAGATGCGAGGAGGCTCCGCCGCCGCCGCTGCCGCCGTGGTAACCTCCCAGGCAGTAGGGGTCACGACATAATCCCTGCAGGAACGAGGGCGGGGAGGCCCCCGTGAGCGGGCTGGAGCTGGGGGGCTTGCCGGGCGGCAGGCCCAGGCCCCCCGACAGCTGGCCTCCCACGAGGCCCGATTTGCTGGGATCCAGGCCAGGCACGAACTGGGACGGGTAGCCGGCGGCGTAGGCGCCCACGATGGAGCCGTGGTAGCCGATGCTGGACGGCGGCAGCGGGAACACCGAGTGGCCCGGCTTGTAGGGCGACACGGGGGCCACGTGGCCGGCGCCCACCAGGGCCGAGGGCGGCTCCGACTTGCGCCCGGAACACCCCGCCTCGGCGCCGCCGCCGTGCGCGCCCGGCTCTCCCCCGGCGCCGCCACCACCGCCGCGGCTCACGGCCGCCGGCTCCGGGCTGGCCTTGGGCTCCTGGTCTTTCTTGTCCAGCTCGCCGCCAGCCTTGCAGTCAGAGTGATGCGGGGAGCCGCCCCGGGAGCCGGCGGGCGAGGATGCGGCCGACACTGGCGCTCCATGCGGGGGAAAGGGCGGGCAGGCGGCACTGGGGACCCTGAAGCCCGCCTTGTCTCCCGGGGACGAGGACGACGACGACGACGACGAAGAGGAGGGAGTGGACGACACCGAGGAGGAGCCGCTGTCTTTGCGGGAGTCGCCGCCGCCGCCCGCACCCTTGGAGTAGGGCTTGAAGCTCGACTTGTCCTCGGCCGGGGCGTCTCCCAGCTGCTTGAGCGCCGCCGCCGCCGAGCCGGCGCCCGGAGCCGAGCGGCCCGGGTCCTTGTCCGCTCCCAGCCCGCTGGCCGCCGCGGCCGCTACGGAATTGAGCTTGGACGAGGGAGGCGGGTCGGGCTTGCCGATCTGCGAGCAGGTCTGGGCCAGCAGCGCCAACGGACTCTTTTTGGCGTCCAGCTGTGGGAGACAGCGAGGCAGAGGGTGGGGTGCGGGGGGGGGGGGGAGAGAGTAATAGGGGGGTTAGACTGGGCGGCCAGGGCCTGGAGACCAGGAGGGGGAGGCCAGGGTCGCGCTCACTACTGCCACTGGTGCCAGCGTGCGCCCCAGGCCTGGGAGAGCCGGGGCGCGGCCGAAGGGGTTCACCAGGAGGCCATCACGGGACAAAGTGACTTTTCCGGGCTCAGGGTTGGGTCTGGTCCCTCCGGCCAGCTCATCTACACGCTTTCTTCCGGCCCAGGGAGAAACTTCGGCTTTGAAGTTTGCCTGGGGGACGGGGTGGGGGGTGAAGTTCGCTTGGGACGGGTTTCAGGGCGCTGGCGCCCGCCCGCCCGCGGGGTAGGAGCTGGGAGAGGGAGAAGCGCGGAGGCGAGGCAGGGCCTGCGGTTGGCGCCCTCTCCGCGTGGCCCCTCCCTGCTTCCCGACCGGGGAGGGCACCCCGGGGAGAAGGGGAGGAAGAAAGCGACCGGGAGTGCCCGGGCAGGCATCAGGCAGAGTGCGCCCTAACCGGATGGGGCAGAAACAGAGCGGGACCCAGGCGGTCTCCGGGCTTCAAAGAGAACCAACCGAGTTGGGGGAGGGGGACGGGTCGGGGAAGGTCCCTCCCGAAAGTTGACCTCAGGCCCGAAAACGGGGTGCCAGGGGAAAAGTACAGCACCCCGCGGGGGTCTCCAGGAACACCGAGGGCGAGCAGGGGAGAAGGAACCTTCGGGGGGAGACTCTGGTGGGCTCGGATGTCTGCTTCGCACCCCTTCCTCACTCTGGCCCGCCAGGCGTGGCCGGGCTCGGGCATCACACCGGAGTCGACCCCCGCCAACTTCCCCGCCAAGGGCCTCGGAGCCGCCGGCCGCCAGGGCGCAATCGGGACGCGGGGGCGACTGACCTCAATGGGGCTGACGGGAGTGGAGGACAGCGGCTGCAGGTACTCCGGGTGCAGGAGGTGGCCGGTGTGAGCGCTCAGCATCTTCAGGACCCTGATGGGGAGCCGGTTCGCCTGGCGCAGGGGGTCCGCCGGGGGCAAGAGGGACACCACCGCCGGCCCCGCCGGCCTCTTCCCGCCGCCGCCGCCGCCGCTGCTGCTGCTGCTGCCGCCGCTGCTTTCGGGTGTCCTTGGGTTAGATCCAGCGGGCGAATCGCTCATTTGGAGGAGGCAGCGCCGCTGGGGGGGCGGGGAGGGAGGGGGAGCACCGGGAGACGAGCTCCCGGGCGGGTGGCTCGCTCCGCAGCGTCAAGCGCGGGGCCGCGGCCGCTGCCTGTCCGCCAGCTCCCCTCCTCCACCGCCGCCGCTGGCCCGGGCGAGCTGCACAAAAACCTTCGCCGGCCGCGAGCCGCACGTCAAATAGCCGCGATCGGCGGCCCCGCTTCAAAGGGATCGCCGCACCCACCCAATCGCCGCTCGCGCCGGGACCCCGGGGCGGGGAGAGCGGGCGGGCCCAGGCCGGCGCCGCCGGTGGGCGGGGAGAGCCTTAAAGGAGCCTCCCGCTTGCGCGCCCGCCGCCGCCGCCGCCCGGGCCTGCCCCGTGCGCGCTCGCGCGCGTGCCTTTCCCGGCGGCCCGGCCCCGTGCGCGCCTCGGGGTCCCCCCAGGGGGCGCGACTTCTCCGCGCCCCTGTCTGCTCCTCCGCAGCCTCTCTCTCCCTCTCCCCGCGCGCCCGTCTCCCTGCGGGTGGTGCCGACGGAGGTGGGCGGCTGTCACCCGGCCGCCCTGCGGGACCCGGCTGGAGGAGGACGGGATGGAACGCGGCGCCTGCGGGGGTATCGCGGCGTCCCGGCGTCTCCAGCAGGCCGCGTGCGGGCGCGGCTCGGGCTCACGCTCGCCGGCACCTAGGGGGCTGTCCCGAGTGCGTGGCTCACGGGAAGCGGCGCAGCCTGGGAAGCAGAGCCACCCGCGGTGGCCCAGACGCGGCGAGAGGAGCCTCTCGCTGACTTTGAGCCTGTCGGGTCCGCCGCGCGCTCAAGTTCGAGGGCCCCTCTTTTGGGAAGAGGCGGGGGACGGCCTAGCGCAGGACTCTGGGCGCGTGCGCCCCCTCTCCTCCGCGCCCTGGTTCCTGGGTTGGAGGTTGGATTGTGTTTATCAAGACACTGTCTAAAAGGCCCCAGGTCCCCTTTCTGTTGCGCGCCCAGCTGCGATCTTGGGGCTCCAGACTCACGGGGGCAGGGGGGAGCACTTCTAAAGTGCTCTACGGCGACACAAACTCCGGAGAGGGCCTTTTCCCACGCAGAGGAGAAAGAAAATGCAAGCGCTTTTCCTAGAAGGGAACTGGAAAATGAGGACTCCATACAATGACAATGGGACTGCTCATTTCCCTGCGTCATGGGGATAAGGTGGCCGCGCCAGCTTCGCGCTTGGCAGAGATTTTTACCAAGTCATAGCCCAGACGCTCCTCCAGTTTCTGCTGCGCCGCTCCTCGGGAGAGGAAAGCTGGTTGGGTGCGGGCCTCTGGGGAGACTACTTTCCGCTTGCTGTTGCGAGTCCGGCTTTCCCAGGCCGCTGCCCACCTCTCCAGGACCACTCGGTTCTGACTCTGATGCTGGGGAGCTGACCCACGCCTTCTGACGACAGGAGTAGCGGAGACAGGTGCTTTTAAAGGGATTCAACGGGCAGAAAGAAGTCCCTCTCCTGGCAATAAGCGTCCCTGCCTTTGCCAGGCTCAGTCCAGGGGAGGTGAGAGCCTGCAGCCCTCTCAGGCCACCCCAGTCACACCCTGAGCCTAATGTGCAGCACGCTGCCGCGTTTGGAGACACCTCTCAGAAATTGGGGCTGTGCTGTGTCACAGTGGGTGAGGCCTACCTTCCACAAGCCAGCATCCCCTAAGAAAACCAGTTCTGGGCTGCCTCACTTTGGATTCGGCTCCCTGCTAATGTGCCTGTGCGAAGTGGAAGATGGCCATGCTTACCTGGTTGGAGTTTCCACTGACCATCTGGGGAGTGAACCAGCCAGTGGAAGAATTTCTCTCATCCCATCTCACCCTTAGTCTCTGTAACTCTACCTTTTAAATAAATACATCTTGATGGGGTGGGGTGGGAAAGGGGGCGGGGAGCAGGGGCAGGAAAAGAGAAGGAAATAGCACAGGTCCACCCTTCCCTCGATTTTACTCCTAATAAAGCAGAGTGGCCAAGATCGTCCTCATTGGGAGATGTCAGCTACATTGCTAAAGAAAGCATGACGGAAAGGGCAGGAGAATCTATCTGGTCTGTTGGGCTGCGTGCTGCCCTTCCGGCCTCGGTGCATTAGGGAGGACCTGGCTGTCTCCACCAGCACCACCTGGGACAAGTTCAGGGCTACCCCAGGATGTGCAGAAGGGCCGGGAGAGAAGGGCGAAAGGGTCCCTGAGGGTTGCCTCCAGCCCAGCTGTGAGAGAAAGCCAAGAAATCTTGCCAGAACCCAAGCACACGTGTGAGAAATGATGCGTGGGAGATGAGGAGGGGGAGAAAGGGGAGGGAGGCACGGCATTTGCTCAAGGAATTTGGGAGGGGACTGGAGGAGAAAGCAGGGCCACGGGATATTTACTTTTTATCCTAGGAGGAGAAAGGACTGGATGGGGGAGAGGAAGGGACAGCAGAGGAGGTGAGGGCAGGAGGACCAGTGTGGGGAGAGAGGGCTGAGTTGCTGGGAGATAAGCCATTGTCCTCCCTGCCTCAGCTCCCTACCACGACCCACCACTGTCCTCACTCTAGGGAAGTCTCTAGGCTAAGTTTTGGAGGGTGCCTGGGGGAAGGAGCACATATAGTTGGTCCCTTAGCTAGATCCAGCCAAGAACCTTGGGAGAGAAAATGGAAACACCTACTAGAGTGGGCCAGAGGCCCAGTCAAAACCCTGCTTAAGGGGCTGGCATTGGGGTGCAACTGGTTAGGTAGGGGTGACAATGGGAGCCACTGTTAGCATCAACCAGTTGGAATTCTTAGATATTCCTTTTCTGATCCAACGTTCTGCCAATACACTTGGGAAGGCAGCAGAAGATGGCCCAAGTACTTGGGCCCTTGGGACCCCCCCGCCCCCAAAACACACACATGGGAAACCCAGATGCTGTTTTGGCCTGACCCAGTCCTGGTTGCTGTTTGTGGCCATTTGGGGGAGTGAATCCATAGAGGGAAGCTCTCCACCTGTCTCTTTATCTCCTCTCTCTCTGTATAGGAATCTTTTTTTGTTCTTTAATTATTTATTTATTTATTATTTTTTACTGAAAAGGATTTACAGAAAGAGACCAAGATCTTCTATCTGCTGGTTCACTCCCTCAGTAGTTGCAATGACCAGAGCTGGGCTGGTCTGAAGTCAGGAGCCAGGAGCTTCTTACAGGTCTCTCTCATGGGTACAGGGTTCCAAGGCTTTGGGCCATCTTCCACTGCTCTCCCAGGCCATAAGCAAGGAGCTAGATGGGAAGTGGAGCAGCTGGGACATGAACCTACTCCCGTGTGGGATGCTGGTACTTGCAGCAGGAGGATTAGCCAGTTGAGCCATTTTGTGGGGCTGTATCTAAATCCTTCAGAAGATGAGTATTGTCAACAGTTTCTGACGCGTGCTTGGCTGACCCGCTATCCCATTTGTTGCCCTGAGTGGGGCCCTAGTACCTGACGAGGGGTATCATTTCAGAAGTGCAGCCTGCTTCGGGGGAGAGGCCAGCGGTGGGGAGAAAGCTCAGGGTGGGGGCCTTGCCCTAAGATCTAAGCACAAGTCCTCCCAAGTGCAAAAAAGGTGGCTGATGTACGGTGAAGGGACCTCTCTCTGTCCAAGCCCCCCTGGTTGCCCTGAGAGTGAGTGGGCGCCATTCAAACAGGGCAGCGGCGGGGTGGGCGTCAGGCACAGCCCTGAGGACGTAGCTAACTTCCTGGAACGGAGTGTCCTGGCTCTGTGCTGAGTCCAGCCTCCTGCTACCGTGCACCCTGGGAGGCAGCAGGCGAGGACTCCAGGAAGTCTGGACTGCCACCCACGTGGGAGACCTGGATTGAGTTCCTGGCTCCTGGCGTGGACGTGGCCCAGTCCTGGATATTGGGTGTTAGAGTGATGTTAGCGCTGTTTGGGAATGCCCTCTGACCTGGTGGTGAACAACAAAAGTGGCCAGTATTGTGGCACAGTGGGTCAAACCTCTGCTTGAGAAGAGTGCTGAATCCCAACTGCTCCACTTCTGATTCAGCTTCCTGTTAATGTGCCTGGGAAGGCAATGGATGAAGACTCAGGTGCTTGGGCTCTGGTCATCCGTATGGGAGACCTGGACAGATCTGCAGGCTCCTGGCTTCAGCTTGGCCCCCTGACCCGGATAACAGAACCATCAAATGGGACATCGCGCTCTCTCTCTGCCTTTAAGTAAATAAAAAGAAACAAGAAATTGAAAACAAGGAATAGCAGTGCTGCTTGTAAACGGGGTTACTAAGCGGCAGGGCCGGTTACCAGTCCCCTTTTAAAGTTGATGATGGAGGCATGGCCTGTAGGGGTTCCCCAGGGGGGCACTGGGAGTCAGGTGTCTGGGATCTGCTGGACTGACCTGGGCCAGTTACACTTCCCTGGGGGCTAGGAGGCAAGAACAAGGAGAGCCGTGGCAGACAATGCCATGTGGTGAGCGCTTGGCAGCAGGAGACATTTGTATCTGCCCAGTTCCACCCTTCCTGCCCCCCAGCATCCGCCAGCCTTCCTGTCCCTGAACCCAATCACCTTAGTACAAAAATGACAGCGCTTCTTCCCCCTTCCCCCATCCAACCTGTAGGCAAACGTATCTTCTTAAAAAAAAATAATGTCCTCTAGAAGCCACAGAGAAAGTCCTTTAGGACATCGTGAATATTTATAATCCCCCCCCATTACTTCAATTTACATAAAATGCGCCATCCAGGAAAAAAAATGCCTGAGTCAGGTTGGGCGCTGGAGGTGGGCGATTTGTCTTGCGGGGTTAATATGTCGCTTTCCGTCCCCGGCGAGGCGGAATTGCCTGAATGATCGTCTCTCCGCACACCACTCAAACCCTAATGGTAGCAACATGAAATAATACCTCACAGGGTAACTATTTACATTTTTTTCCCCCCCACAAGCCGTAAGAACTCTGAAAAGCCTGCCTCATAGAGGACTTGGTCTTCCTCCCTGGCACTTAATATCTCTCAGCGGCTGGCGATTATGGCTTTGGCCACGAGCCCTGACTGGGCACACTGCACTCGGG